TTGGAATGCATTTTTTGCTATCCCAATACACCTTGAGATTTCTTTTGTTAGGGCTCTATTCTGGGTCCTAATCTGTTTTCTGATATTCATCAATGATCTTCTTGATGTCATCAATTCCCAAGTAGACATTACTACAGATGGTACTACCATTTACTCCTGTATGTATAGCAAATCCATCTTAGCATCAGTATGTCCTTTGAATTTCAAATTTTCCAAGCCCACTTTCCTCATTGTGTGACCTAAAAATTTCACTTGTCTCTTATCTGATGTTAATTATAAGTTCAGGACATTGGTGATCATAGCTTTCCAAAATTTTCCTGTCCTTTGTAGCTCTTAATAAATTTTGTCTTTTTCTTATCTCCCCTAAAACTTGTTCTGCTATCCATTTAACCAAGCTTATTCTTCTTCTTCTATGTGGCGTGTCCTTTCAAGATGTAAGCGATCATGGCTCTCCACAATTTCCTGTCCTTTGTAGCTCTTAATAAATTTTGTCTTTTTCTTATCTCCACTAAAACTTGTTCTGCTATCCATTTAACCAAGCTCATTCTTCTTCTTCTATGTGGCGTGTCCTAAATCATGGCTCTCCACAATTTCCTGTCCTTTGTAGCTCTTAATAAATTTTGTCTTTTTCTTATCTCCACTAAAACTTGTTCTGCTATCCATTTAACCAAGCTCATTCTTCTTCTTCCTGTGTCCTTTCAAGATGTGAAGCGATCATGGCTCTCCACAATTTCCTGTCCTTTGTAGCTCTTAATAAATTTTGTCTTTTTCTTAAGAGGACTAAAACTTGTTCTGCTATCCATTTAACCAAGCTCATTCTTCTTCTTCTATGTGCCGTGTCCTTTCAAGATTAAGATCATGGCTCTCCACAATTTCCTGTCTTTGTAGCTCTTAATAAATTTTGTTTTTTTTCTTATTTCCACTAAACCTTGTTCTGCTATCCATTTAACCAAGCTCATTCTTCTTCTTCTATGTGCCGTGTCCTTTCAAGAATTGGCGATCATGGCTCTCCACAATTTCCTCTCCTTTGTAGCTCTTAATAAATTTTGTCTTTTTCTTTATCCAATTAAAACTTGTTCTGCTATCCATTTAACCAAGCTTATTCTTCTTCTTTATGTGCCGTGTCTTTTTCAAGATATTGGTGATCATGGCTCTCCACAATTTCCTGTCCTTTTGTAGCTCTTAATAAATTTTGTCTTTTTCTTATCTCCCTAAAACTTGTTCTGCTATCCATTTAACCAAGCTTATTCTTCTTCTTCTATGTGCCGTGTCCTTTCAAGATATAAGCGATCATGGCTCTCCACAATTTCCTGTCCTTTGTAGCTCTTAATAAATTTTGTCTTTTCTTTATCTCCACTAAAACTTGTTCTGCTATCCATTTACCAAGCTCATTCTTCTTCTTCTATGTGGCGTGTCCTTTCAAGACATTGGCGATCATGGCTCTCCACAATTTCCTGTCCTTTGTAGCTCTTAATAAATTTTGTCTTTTCTTATTTCTCCTAAACCTTGTTCTGCTATCCATTTAACCAAGCTCATTCTTCTTCTTCTATGTGTCCCGTGTCCTTTCAAGACATTAGCGATCATGGCTCTCCACAATTTCCGTCCTTTGTAGCTCTTAATAAATTTTGTTTTTTCTTATCTCCCTAAAATTTGTTCTGCTATCCATTTATCAAGCTTATTCTTCTTCTTCTATGTGCCGTGTCCTTTCAAGACATTTCATGGCTCTCCACAATTTCCTGTCAAATGGTTTTTGTAGCTCTTAATAAATTTTGTCTTTTTCTTATCTCCCCTAATCCTTGTTCTGCTATCCATTTAACCAAATAATTTTTATTCTTCTTCTTCTATGTGCTATGTGTCCTTTCAAGATGTAAGTGATCATGGCTCTCCACAATTTCCTGTCCTTTGTAGCTCTTAATAAATTTTGTCTTTTCTTATCTCCCCTAAAACCTTGTTCTGCTATCCATTTACTCAAGCTTATTCTTCTTCTTCTATGTGGCGTGTCCTTTCAAGATTGGCGATTGGCTCTCCACAATTTCCTGTCCTTTTTAGCTCTTAATAAATTTTGTCTTTTTCTTATCTCCCTAAAACTTGTTCTGCTATCCATTTAACCAAGCTCATTCTTCTTCTTCTGATGCGTGTCCTTTCAAGATGTTGGCGATCATGGCTCTCCACAATTTCCTGTCCTTTGTAGCTCTTAATAAATTTTGTCTTTTTCTTATCTCCCCTAAAACTTGTTCTGCTATCCATTTAACCAAGCTTATTCTTCTTCTTCTATGTGGCGTGTCCTTTCAAGATGTAAGTGATCATGGCTCTCCACAATTTCCTGTCCTTTGTAGCTCTTAATAAATTTTGTCTTTTTCTTATCTCCCCTAAAACTTGTTCTGCTATCCATTTAACCAAGCTTATTCTTCTTCTTCTATGTGGCGTGTCCTTTCAAGATGTAAGTGATCATGGCTCTCCACAATTTCCTGTCCTTTGTAGCTCTTAATAAATTTTGTCTTTTTCTTATCTCCCCTGAAACTTGTTCTGCTATCCATTTAACCAAGCTCATTCTTCTTCTTCTAAACACTGTTCTACTGTCCATTTACACAAAGATGCTAGGTAGTTTATGCATTTTTTTCCTTTATCCCTCTTACATATGTCCAGTCATATTCTCATCAACATGACATGGTTTCCCTCTGTCTTTTTTACAAACATTTTCATGTTTACTGCTCTGATAAGCATTTTTCCCTGATGCCCTGAGTACGTGAATTTAAACGCGTTACTAGATTGGCATCTAGGTCCCACCCTTTTACTGTTGAAATAGTTAAATGTAACCTCCACTTCTACTCTAACAGTTTCTTTTCTTACACTTCCTGCCTGTGGAACTCCCTTCCATCTACTTGCTTTCCTGATAACTACAATCTTCAAATTTCAAGGCAATGTCAATCACCATATTGTGTCTTCTTGAGATGGCTTGTATATTTTAAAGTCTCTAAAACTAAATGCTTTCATTTCTTTTTCTGTTTGTTTTGTACTCTGTTTAGCTTTTGGAATGTTTTGTCTGGTTATAAACAGGGTGACTATAATAAAAATTATACTTGGCATCAGTCAAGAAATTTCTCTGAATATTATCAGTCAATTATTCATTCTGTTTAATTTCTGTTTTAAATTACAAACAAATAAGAAAGAATTTTGGCTACTTACATTATTCATCATCATTGCCATTTTCACAATGTTTTGGCCATTGTACACTCCGGCCTTCTTCAGGTGATTAAAATTTCAAACTGAACCCTTTATTTTGTTCACCAGGGTAGATTGTTCTAATTCCACTTGCCATGCCTCTTTCGGATGCCTCAGTTATTTCCCTTTAACTCAGCTCTCCATGTTTTGGTTCACCACTGCTGTAGCCTGGTATTGAACTAACAACACTTTGGGTCTAATCACTGGATCTAACCAATGCTTTTATCCACTGGGACACATGACTCAGTTGAACTAGAACAATAATAATAAGGGGAAATAACTGAGACATCCAGAATAGGCATGGCATGTGGAACTAGAACAATCAATCCCGGTGGATGAAATAAAGTGTCCGGTTCAGAATTTCAATCACCTAAAGAAGACTGGAAGAGACAATGGCCAAAATATTGTGAATATAGCAATGAAGATGAGGATAACTGTCTAAATAATTTAAATAATACAAGGAATCATAATACCTCGTCTCAGAGATATAGACAGATATATAGAGAGACATAGACGTAAAGGCCAGAGTGTACAACAGCTGAAACGTTATGAATATGGCAATGAAGATGAGGATGACAGTCGAAATGATGTAAATAATGCAAGTAATCATAATACCTAAAGATATAAACAAGAATTTTGGCTTTGGGATGAAATTATAATCTCCCAAAGATTTAAGGTCTTTAAGTACCGAGCATTAACAGTCAACATTTGTAGTTCCATAGAAAGGGAGAAGGGGAAAAAGATACAAGAGAAATGAGGAATGGGAAAAGAGACAAAAGAAATGAGGAATGGGAAAAGAGACAAAAGAAATGGAGAATGGTACAAGAGACAAGACAAATGAAGAATGGAAAAAGTGACGAGAGAAAGGGAGAATAGGAAAAGAGAAATGGGGAATGGTAAAAGAGACAAGACAAAGGGAGAATGGAAAAAGTGACGAGAGAAAGGGAGAATGGAAAAAGTGACGAGAGAAAGGGAGAATGGAAAAAAAAGAGAAAGGGAGAAGAAAAAATGGGGAGAAAAAGAAAATGGGAAAAGGTAAATGGGCTTTTTGGTAAAAGAGACAAAAGAAATGGAGAATGGTACAAGAGACAAGACAAATGAAGAATGGAAAAAGTGACGAGAGAAAGGGAGAATGGAAAAAGTGACGAGAGAAAGAGAGAATGGGAAAAGAAACAAAAGAAATGGAAAAAGTGACGAGAGAAAGAGAGAATGGGAAAAGAAACAAAAGAAATGGAGAATGTTACAAGAGACGAGAGAAAGGGAGAATGGAAAAAGTGACGAGAGAAAGAGAGAATGGGAAAAGAAACAAAAGAAATGGAGAATGTTACAAGAGACGAGAGAAAGGGAGAATGGAAAAAGTGGGAGAATGAGAAAGGGAAAAAAAAAAAAGTTGACAAGAGAAAGGGAGAATGGAAAAAAGAAAGAGAGAAAGAGAAAAAGAAAAGAAATGGGAAAAAAATGGGAATGGTAAAAGAGTTAAAAAGAAATGGAGAATGGTAAAAAAAAAAGACAAAGACAAATGAAGAATGGAAAAAAGTGACGAGAGAAAGGAGAATGGAAAAAAGTGAAGAGAAAGAGAGAATGGGAAAAAGAAACAAAGAAATGGAGAATGTTACAAGAGACAAGAGAAAGGGATAATGGAAAAAGTGACGAGAGAAAGGGAGAATGGGAAAAGTGACGAGAGAAAGAAAGATGGGAAAAGGGAAAAAAAGAGGAAGGGGAAAGAAATGAAAGAAATGGAGAATGAGAAAAAGAAAGAGAAAAGAAAAGGGAGAATTTTACAAGAATAACAAGAGAATGGGAGAATGGAAAAAAGTGACGAAGAGAAAGGGAGAATGGGAAAAAAAGAAATGGAGAATGTTAAAAGACAAGAAGGGGGGAAAAAAGTGACGAGAGAAAGGGAGAATGGAAAAAAGTGATTTAGAGAAAGGGAGAATGGGAAAGCTGAAATGGGAAAAGAAACAAAATGGAGAATGTTACAAGAGACAAGAGAAAGGGATAATGGAAAAAGTGATTGAGAGAAAGGGAAATGGGAAAGTGAAAAGTGATGGGAAAAGAAACAAAAGAAATGGAGAATGTTAAAGAGAAAGGGATAAAGAAAAAAAAAGAAATGGAGAAAGGGAGACAAGAAAAAAAGAATGGAATGTTGAACAGAGAAAGAAAGAGAGAATGGGAAAAGAAACAAAAGAAATGGAGAATGTTACAAGAGACAAGAGAAAGGGATAATGGAAAAAGTGACAAGAAAAATGGAGAATGGTAAAGGAGACAAGACAAATGAAAAATGGGAAAAGAGACGAGAGAAAGAGAGAATGGGAAAAGAGATGAGAGAAAGAGAGAGTGGGAAAAGTGACGAGAGAAAGGGAGAATGAGAAAAGTGATGAGAGAAAGGGAAAATGGAAAAAGTGATGAGAGAAAGAGAGAATGGGAAAAGAGAAATGAAGAATGGTACATGGAAAATGGAAAAAGAGTTGAGAGAAAAGGAGAATGGAAAAAGAGATGAGAGAAAAGGAGAATGGGAAAAGAGACAAGAGCAATTATTTTCTCCCAAAGATTTAAGGTTTTTAAGTAACGAGCATTAACAGTTTACCTTTGTGGTTCTATTTCAGTGCTTTAATCAATAGCTACTCTATCATGATTTAGATCAGGAATAATTATTCATAAAACCAGTTTCTGATCAATAATGTTATAGATTCACACCTTATTATTTTGTTATATTCTTTTTTTGTGATGATCTAATTTGTCATGAATGTTTCATATTCATGTGTTCTCATTGAAAGGATTTTAAGTGGAAAAGATTTGAAATTGGTATCTTTTATTTTAACTTTTTTGTTTTACTGGTGTTTCTTTTTGGTATTCAGTTTAAGTGTTTAGCATAGAAATAAAGTCTTGTACAAATCCCAAGAGAAGAATTAGTTGCAAATCTAATATCAGAATTTGTGCCTTATTACACAACACCCTCATTTCTTGTAGAATGCAGGTAAGGTTGATTAGATAAGAGAGAGAGAAAAGAGAAATAAGAAAGAAGAAAAATTATGAAAGGGTGGAAGAATAAAGAAAAGGAAGAATGGTAAAAGAGACAAAAGAAATGGAGAATGGGAAAAGAGACGAGAAAAGTGGAGAATGGGAAAAGAGACGAGAAAAGTGGAGAATGGGAAAAGAGACGAGAAAAGTGGAGAATGGGAAAAGAGACGAGAAAAGTGGAGAATGGGAAAAGAGACGAGAAAAGTGGAGAATGGGAAAAAAAGAGAATAGAAAAGTGGAGAATGGGAAAAAGAGACGAGAAAATGGAGAATGGGAAAAGAGACGAGAAAAGTGGAGAATGGGAAAAGATTTTTAAAAGTGGAGAATGGGAAAAGAATTTTGTGAAAGAAAAGGGAGAATGGGAAAAGGACGAGAAAAGTGGAGAATGGGAAAAAATAGATGATGAAAAGTGGAGAATGGGAAAAGAGACGAGAAAAAATGGAGAATGGGAAAAGGGACGAGAAAAAGTGGAGAATGGGAAAAGGGACGAGAAAAGTGGAGAATAAAAAAAGATAGATAAAGAAAAGTGGAGAATGGGAAAATGTTTATAGAAAAGTGGAGAATGGGAAAAGAGACGAGAAAAGTAGAATGAAATGGGAAAAGAGAAAAGTGGAGAATGGCAGAAAAGTGCAGAAAAAAAGACAAGACAGTGCAGAATGGGAAACACACACACACACAGAGGGAGTGATAGATAAATTTTCATCTAAATTATGCAAAAATGAAAATAACACTGACATCTCGTTTTAACAGATATATTTACCAAAATTACACAAAAATGTCTTCAAATAAAATCACCATTGGATTCAACCATAGCCTCCAGACAACTTTGAAATCACCTGCATCTCTTCTGGACTGTTTCCTTGTTTAAGCTTGTGAATTCTGCCATAATCTTTGCCTTCAGTTCATCTTTGAAGTTTTATTTTTATTAACTGTATCCCACACATAATAATCAAGGGGGTTGCAGTCTAGGAAATTAGGTGGCCAGATATAAGGGGTGATGTAGTTACAGAAATTGACTGATTGCCTTGACTGTGTTCTCCTACTTGTGTGGCATGATGCAGACTTATGTTGCTAGACAAAGGCTCTTCAAGTAGCCACCCTCTTGACCCAGAGCAGCACTCCCTCTTCAAGGTACTTAATGTAGGCCTCTGTATTGAGCCTGAGGCACTGTGGGAAGATGAATGCAAGCATAATGTTGCCATCACTAGTGATCACACCAAATACGTTCATAATTACCATTCGAATCTCTGCACTGTCCTCAAATTGATACCCAAACATGCTGAAATATTTGTACTGGAGCTTCCAGCATAAATGCTAAAAAGTACAACATGACATTTCCAAATTTTTGACGGAGTGAATTGTGGTGCTCTTTTTCTCACAGATGGTGCCCCACTGGGCCTATTATAACAGTCAACAAAAACAAACAACATACATGTGCAAAATTAAAAGTATAAAATGGTGACAATTTACCTAATGTATCCTGTATGTGTGTGTGTATGTATATATATATATATATAGATAAAGAGAGATGCGAGTAAATCAAATAAATAGATATTTGCAACTGTATATGCATGCACTAGTGTGAATACACACATAAGCAAATAATTATTTACTAAATTTACTTTAAGGTGTAAATATAGCAGTGCTCAATGTGGTTAGACAGAGCTAAGAAATACATATTATTAAATATACATATACCTACATTTCAGTGCAAATTAAGTTTTGTTGTTTTATCAACTCATTTTTTAAAAAATATTATGATATTTAAAAAATAATCATATATATATATATATATATATATATATATATATATATATATAATTATTTTTAAAAATATGATTCCTAAAACTACATAAAGTTAAAATGTTTCTCAAAAATCAAGAGAGCCATTCCCTCATTATATGAAAAGATGAAAAAATATGAAATAAGGCTATTCATTTTTGAAATGGATGCCCCCCACCCTATCTCAGCTTGACTTCTTAGATATTGATATGAAATGATAATAAAAAATTATATAAATTAGACGCCATTACCAAATGGTCATTTTTATTTTTTATTTAGTAATTAATTTTGTGAATGAACATGCTTATAAAGATTTTTAAATTTCAAGATTGGTTATTCCTAAATTTTCGCTTGAGGATGAAACAGGGCTTGATACTTTAACTCAATTTAATTTTAATAATTATATTGAGGTTTTCTCTCTCGTTTTTGAAACATCAGAACTCTTATGTAGCGAAGGAATCATATTTTTAAAAATAATTATAATTTAAGCTCTACTTTATATGGAGCAATGTTTTTTTTTTTTTTAAATAAAATAAAAAAATACTAAAGAATATATCGGATTGTTTACCTAATGTGTTTTTCCTATTTTTCTACAATGCACACATATATATATATATATATATATATATATATATATATATATATATATATATATATATATATAATAATAATAATAATGGACTCTCCTGTCGATTTCAATGTATGACGATCTGACAGCTTATTATTCAGTTATGAAAGTTTGTGCGATAATCTTAAGTGGTATTTAAGACCTGCTAGTGATTTACAAAGGAGGCCACATATGGAGCAAGTGTGAGGATTGTGAGATGAGATCACTGTTAGATTGGCTGACCTTTTAGATCTTGCTCTCGCTTCTTGAAGATGATTCAGACAAGCAGATTGAAAATTTCTGAGTCCACTAAAACACGTTGATCTCCATTCTACCAGCTCCAAAGCTAAGCACTCAAAGGTGTTATGTGGTATATTGACTGCTGATAAGTTGCTTTTCAGCTTGTCTTTGTATCTTAGCCATGGGCATCCTACATTCCTGTATCCCTGATCTAGCTGGCTGTACATTAGGATCTTGGGTATCCTGCCATCAGACATTCTCAAGACATGACCAGTCCACCGTAAAGAAAAAACATATTCAAATAAAAGTCTGATTCCTCCAATATTACACCTGTTAAACAGATCTACGTTAGATTCCTATCTTGAAGTTTAACTCCACAGATTGCACGCAGACAGCTTTTTATGGAAAACATCTAGCTGGCGTATATGGTGTCTGTATGGAGTCCACAACTTGACCCATAAAAAAAGGATGAAAAAGATACAACACTATCTGTAAAATAAATTTTCATATCCAGTTTCCAATTATAAATCATTCCGAAAGCGATTTTATATATATTATATATATATATATATATATATATATAACTGGCAACTCATTTCTGTATTGATGTGGTTTATGTATGATTTGCTTATACATGTTTTTTTTTTCTAGATCAAATCATAATATTCATCCACATCATTTTTTTATGAAAGAAAAAAAATATTGTTTTATTTTTATATTTTATCCCATTTTTTTCACAATGAATGATGAAAATTTATAATTATTCTGCCAATACTAATTTAAATAAAATTAAAACATTTAAGGGAAAAACAGATTAAAAAAAAGTCTTTCCTTTCCAATACTTGATGTGTCGTGAACCCAGAGCTTTGAATGCTATCACTGAGAATATTGGACAAAATCACAGACTTAATAAATAGAAAAATATAAAATAACAAGGACTGTTTCAGTCGGATAGTAATCAATGAAACAAATATTATTAGAAAGAAACTTTTATAAGCTTTTCTATAAAATATGGAGTTGGCCAAAGTGTTTGCTCAATAATTTTTTTTTTTTAGTTGGCATCCAGTATATTTAGTTTAAATTTTTTTTTTCTATGTGAATTTTCTATTAAGGACAATTAAATCATGGTTATAATAATTCCTTTGTCCTTTGTAGCTCTTATTAAATTTTACTTGTCAAAAAGAAAACCCTGTTCTGCTAAAATTTTTAGTCTTGTAAGGTAGGTGATACATTAAATTTGTAAAATCTCGGTACCAGGGAAAAAATTAAATCTTTGTCAACTCATGAAAAGTATTTATAAAAAGCACAGGAATCAACATTACAGACAATTGAAAGGGACTGAAAAGATGATGAATATCAAAAATAACATTACAGATTCTTTGGATGGATACTTTTAGCAAAAATGGACAAAGCTGTCAATCTAGTACAGTTTTTAAAAAATAAAAAACTTTTGCCCCACATATAATAATCAAGGGGTTACAGTCTGGGAGTTAGTTGACCAGACATGAGCGGTGATGTGGTTGCAGAAATTGTTGATGACCCGATTATAACAGGGTTCTCCTGCTTGTTTGGCAGGGTGCAGACTCCTTTTGCTTGATATAGTTTTCCAGCAAAAATTCAAAAGAATAATTAATTTTTAGATTTTAAGTTCCTCTGTACTGTTGAGGACAGTACAGAAAATTGAAGAAAATATTCAAACAATCTTATGTTTATATTATTTTTTCCATTAAAATTTTAAGCAGTACATTATGACATTTATAAATTTCTTTTCAAAGTGAATTGTGTCATGGTGCTCTTCAATCACAGATGGTGCCCAACTGACCCTACTAAACTGTTCCAGTTGACAAAATCAAAATAAAACAATAATAAGTGCAAAATTAAGAATATAAAATGGCGACAATTTCAAATTAAAATAATAAATAAAGAATTTCTAAGTTTTTTTTTTTCTCTATAAACAGAAATTATTCCTTGTAAAAGCATATCATTTCTTTGAAACACTTTGGAAATATCATATTTAAAAAAAAATCATTAAAATAATCTATTAATTTAATCTAGCTGCTGCTGCTGATATTTTTTTTCATGGGAACTGGAAAGTAAGTCTTTGGTATGACCTAAAACTACACCCAACAAATGAATCTCAACTAGGGGACAGAATAAGGGTACTCCAAACCATAGTTACCCACGAGTGATCTTTTGCTAAGATCTAGTACTCATTGGCCTTCTTAACACAGTTACTTTTTTCTTTTTATATATATATATATATATATATATATATACATACATGTTTCATTAAATAATATAGACAAGTGTTGTCTATTTATTTTATGTAAATTTTTCATATGTCTGATAAGTTTAATAACATTATCATTAAACAAAGAAAAAAAAAATTACAATATTGATACATATTTTTAATCCAATCTAAGCTTTCAATTTACATAAGCCATTATCAAAGATGACAATTACTGTACAATATATTAAGCAATATACAGACAAGATAGTGATGATAGTCTGTTTCTGTTTACATGGATGATTTCCAAGCAACGATAAACACATGCATATAAGACGCTCATTTTAAAATAAAAACTTCAAAGCTCATTTTCACAAATGATCTAATTAAAACGAGAGTGAATTCAAAATATTAATATGGGAATATTGTTGGTATAAACCAATGGTTTAATTAACAATTATAGACATTTAAGAATATTTGTGGAGATTTCATAGTTTATTTTGTTTGGGTTAGGTTTTAACTGTTTTATGTATATAGCTTCAAGAATATATTCACACACACTTGGATGTATACATACAATCATAAGGAGAGTTTTACTATTTGTTTGTGTTCCTTAGATGATTAAAATGAATGGAAATAGGGTAAGAGTGAGTAGAATCTGTTTCAGGTATGTGTTTGCACATGTATATCACAGTGAGAGGAAACAAAATTGTTACTTACCACTTCAGGCTGAGCGTGTCACCATAATCTTTACCCAATGGGAACCGTTACTGTGTTTGCTTCCTTTTTTTTATGGAAGAGCACAGGTTGCTAGTGAACTGGAAGTTATCTGTGATTGGACTATAAA